ATTAATTGTGCACCAGTTTCCCACTGCATGATCTGTAAGCATACCTTTTATACTTCAGTTAACAGTATTATATAGAATGCAAACTATCATTGACAATGTCGTTAATGGCATAATTAAATGGATAGTGATGTAAATAATTAATATTGCAGAATAAACAATTTAATTTTGCAGACGTCGGCGTCACTGTCTTCGGAGTTGAGAACGCGCTTCGTAATGCTGAGGTGCAGGGTTTCGATCCCAGCTGCGGACAATTTGTTTTCCGCTGGTTCCGACATTGGGACCGAGAGATGGCCGTTTACAAAGCAATGACAAACTACTGATCGTAAAATTCCATTAGAAAAATCACAACAGCGAATAAATGTTGTGGTTGGTTTAGCAACGTCCTGTAAAAAATACGCAACTAACTAATGTTGCAGACTTAACGTCACTGTTGCCAAAACCAAACCTGTATATACTCATTTGAAAGTTCGAATATTTTTTCTGCGTGTGAATTTAATTATAACTGTGCACTAAATTCTTGGCTCTTCTTTCAATACCGGATGGTAGCTGGACGGCTTAGTTCGGCTTAGTGGGAGTTCTCTCCCTTGGCCGCATTGCAAACAGGGAGCGGAAAAGTCACGAATCAAATGACATAGTTACCTATCATCATACGGTTGCGTGTAGGGTTGCGTACGGTTGTGTGTAGGGTTGCGTAGTCATCATACGGTTGCGTGAAGGGTTGCGTAGTCATCATACGGTTGCGTGTAGGGTTACCTTTCATCATACGGTTGCGTGTAGGGTTGGGTAGGGTGTCTATCATCATCATACAGTTGCGTGTAGGGTGTAGGGTTCGGGTTAGGGTTACGGTTAGTGTTACGGATAGGGGTAGGGTTAGGTTAGGGTTAGTGTTAGGGTTAGGGTGACAATTTTAACCTAGGAGTTCCAAATACTGGGCGACAATCTGATGCTACTTCTTCCGACGAAAGTATCAGCGCGGTCGCAACCGTCACGGTCGTTAGGTAGTAGGGCTAGTAGAGCGTCAGACTGGCCGTTGCTACTTGGAGCTTGTGCGAAGACGAGATGCAGCAACATTGGAGAGGATCATAACAGATCACGTCCTGCCGGGAACGACCATCGTGACTGACGCTTGGCGAGGCTCTCCTACGTCAAAATTTTCACATCTAACCCTACCCCTAACCCTAACCCTACCTCTAACCCTATCCCTAACCCAAACCCTACACCCTACGCAACCCTACACGCAACCGTATGATGATGATAGACACCCTACCCAACCCTACACACAACCGTATGATGATAGGTAGCCCTACACGCTACCGTATGATGACTACGCAACCCTACACGCAACCGTACGCACGCAACCCTACACGCAACCGTATGATGATAGGTAAGTATGTCATTTGATTCGTAACTTTTCCGCTCCCTGTTTGCAATGCGGCCAAGGGAGAGAACTCCAGCTACCGTCCGGTATTGAAAGAAGAGCCAAATTCTTAATCCATGAGCTGTTAGTGTTTTAATTATTGTACAATAAACAGTCTTATGATAACTGCAGACTTTATTACTATATTATCTGATTGTTCCGTTAATGACAGAAGTAAATAAACGCTGTCTAGGCTAGACCAGTTCTTTTCAACCGGTGGGCCTTGGCTCGCTGGTGCACCACCGAAAAGTCCAGGTAGGATAGGTTGTTGTTCTCTTCAAGGATTGCAGGTTGTAGGATTATGTTCCTAATGAACAGGTTTGGTTTAGGTTAAGATCTTTGTCAGCCCCGACCTCAGAAACACTGACTAACCCTAATTCTAACCCTAACTCTTACCCCAACCTGTAACACCCCTTAAATGTTGAACTTTCCTGGCAAATCCAGAATTTCTTTTATGAAAGTTGTCAGTGTAACAGTCCAATACTTGTGTGATAACTTACTTTCAGACAGATTGTGGCCACTAAGTTTCATCTGCCCACTGTAACAATGAAAATTCTTCGTCTTCTTCTTCTGCTGTAATTTTATGTTGTGCCTTATGCCAAATATGTTGAAAAGATAACACGATTTGTTATCTTGTTAGAACTCAGCATCATTAAGTCACCAGCACATACTGCATCTATGAAGGTCTGATATGAGAGCCAGACAACACCAAAGAAGAAAACTGAGTGTTTTAACATCTTTGTTAATTGACACTGACAGAGAGCTGTTCATCATAAAGACAATGACGGAGAGCTGTTCAGCATAAAAATACTGACAGAGAGCTGTTCAGCATGAAAACACTGACAGAGAGCTGTTCAGCATGAAGACACTGACAGACAGCTATTCAGCATAAAGACACTGATAGAGAGCTGTTCAGCATGAAGACACTGACAGAGAGCTGTTCAGCATGAAGACACTGACAGAGAGCTGTTCAGCATGAAGACACTGACAGAGAGCTGTTCAGCATGAATACACTGACAGAAAGCTGTTCAGCATGAATACACTGACAGAAAGCTGTTCAGCATGAAGACACTGACAGAGAGCTGTTCAGCATGAAAACACTGACAGAGAGCTGATCAGCATAAAGACAATGATGGAGAGCTGTTTAGCATGAAAACAATGACAGAGAGCTGTTCAGCATGAAATACTGACAGAGAGCTGTTCAGCATGAAGACACTGACAGAGAGCTGTTCAGCATGAAGACACTGACAGAGAGCTGTTCAGCATGAAGACACTGACAGACAGCTATTCAGCATAAAGACACTGACAGACAGCTGTTCAGCATGAAGACACTGACAGACAGCTGTTCAGCATGAAGACACTGGCAGACAGCTGTTCAGCATGAAGACACTGACAGACAGCTGTTCAGCATAAAGACACTGATAGAGAGCTGTTCAGCATGAAAATACTGACAGAGAGCTGTTCAGCATGAAAACACTGACAGAGAGCTGTTCAGCATGAAGACACTGACAGACAGCTATTCAGCATAAAGACACTGACAGACAGCTGTTCAGCATGAAGACACTGACAGACAGCTGTTCAGCATGAAGACACTGGCAGACAGCTGTTCAGCATGAAGACACTGACAGACAGCTGTTCAGCATAAAGACACTGATAGAGAGCTGTTCAGCATGAAAATACTGACAGAGAGCTGTTCAGCATGAAAACACTGACAGAGAGCTGTTCAGCATGAAGACACTGACAGAGAGCTGTTCAGCATGAATACACTGACAGAGAGCTGTTCAGCATGAAAACACTGACAGAGAGCTGTTCACCTCATACTTAATTTATGATTGTTTGCAGAATCTGCAATATCCAGTGCATTAGCGAAAGATGATGACTTTGTACTTTTCCCCCCTGATGTTTGAAGAAATCTTTTTCATCGAGTGTTTGCTTTCCTTTCTGTTTATGATTTTCTCTCTATGACGGTTCTGACTTCTGGAAATGATATTTGTTAATATGGAGTAATATGAGCCAGTGCCACCCATCAAGCACTGAACCAGCTACCAAATATTCCTTCCTGTGATGCTTGATGACATCCCTGTGTGGGTCCCAGGGCCCCATTGTGGGGAAAACAAGAATAGACCCACTGCCTACCCAAAAGCATGTTGTAAGAGTAGACTAATTGGGGAGCCTCCTTCGAAGTCGGAGTACATCTGCCTAAAAGGCAAGAAACCACCAGTCTGTATGTAGATGAGTCAGACCTGTGAAATGGATATGCACGCAAAGCTCAGTTTTTGGAGCACGGCTAGAGTCCAGAAGTGGACGAACAACCAGAACTTTCCGCCAGAGTTTTTAGCCGGTGAACGTGAAGAAGAAGAAGAAGATGCTTAATGGCATATATGGAAGAAGATGATCATGATAGTTCACAAAATTCTGGCAAGCATGTATCCTATTCTGTAAATTATTTATGAAATAACTTTATACTATATATTACATAGCATAAGGCTGCAGTAACAATTCCTTTATTGAAAAACTATACTTTATAGCAGTGATTCTCAACCTTTTTACACCCACGGTCTGCCAAAATGGGCACACTTGTTTCACGGCCCACCAAAACGGCTAAGATTGTTTCATGGCTCATCTGGCAACTAACAAATAACAGAAACAAAAAACAAATATAGATGGCAGTTTATTTTGTTAAAAAATTGTTAAATATGATGTCATCAAATTCAAAATTTTAGTCAGTGTTGACTTTTGCTCCTGCTTATTTATATGTTAGGAAATCTGTACGTGACGAGAGCGGCAATTCTAAAACATGAAGCATTGCCATAACGTCTTTAAATGCTTAGTTGTTATATTGAATATCAATTGTCTCTGTTTGACTCTCATCCTTGAGGTGTTAATTCTACAGAGTGCAACCCTGGAGAAGAAGAACTGTCTATGCTATCCTTTTACATGATTGGGCAGACATTTTTGGCGGCCCACCCGGGCTTTTCTGCCACTGCCCATAGGCTGAAGAACACGGCTTTATAGTACAAATCATAAGGTATATTATATGATACTAACTAAGGATAGCAATAGGAATGAAGTAAACAATCAAAAGATACACAGTTTAATATGACCAGTTTTAAATTTTATTAACAGTTACTTGGAAGTTAAATCAGATAGTGAAAGCAGTACTGGTAAGTAAGTAAAGGACCCTTTTCCACGCCTTTAGGCGTATAGGGCATATACGGCTAGACCTATATTTTATAGACCAAACGGCGCAAGATGAGTGATGTGGTCAGCCACTTCTACTTCTTAGGACTGCACCCGGTACCCACTCAAGGCTGGGTCAACCTAGGAGCCAAGGTCATTTTTTATAAAAGTACGGCTCCGCCAGGGAGCGAACCCATGACTTTCCGATCCGCGGCGAGCCTCCAGCCGCAGGCAGTACAGATAGAGTGCTTAAAGCAGGCGATGTTTTTAACCATCAAGATTGTGCTGATTTTGTTTTTTCTCTCCAGAAATTGAATTGACCCAAGTAAATTTTTGGTTGGAGTTTCAAGGATGCCCTTTCTGAAAAGGGTGGGAGGTGTATGGCAGTCAGTCATGAGAATTTATGGGTATGTATTGGATAGATTCTTGCTTCTCCTTTGACTGTCATAATAATGTGATGTTCTTATTTAACGATAGTACTCTCTAATGAGTTTTTCTTTGTTGCTTGCTTATTCTGAACACACCGATTATCATTTTAAATAGTTGGCAGTTAAATAATATTTATCTTCTTGTTTCCTTCTCCCTGCCAGTGGTTTTCAGATGAGGGGGATGGGGGGTAACATAAACTGTTAACTAAGATAGATTTAAGTCACAGTAACTGCCTTATGCACTCAAAGTAGCAGCAGTAATAGTAGTTATGGTTGGGCGGTTGCACCGTAGGGCTGTCATGTTTTGGGAAAGATACAAAGACTACAGGAGTGAAGACATCCTAGATTGCTGGCGTGACATGAAGCAAGATTTATATTTTCTTTCTTTTCAGTTTAGCCAAACTATGCCACAGCAACACGTGGCCGGGTACAGCTAGATAGACATGGGCCAGAGGCTAGAGCCCTATCATAGAAATATCATTAATACGATGCATGCAAATGGCAATAATCCACGCTCCACTTGCTACACCTCTGAGAACCAGGTTTTGCCCACAGGCTGCCAGTTAATAGCCCTGGGCTAGAGTAAGTTGGTTTAGGGCAAAAGAAGTTGTTATTGAATTCTTTCAGAAAATGCAAAGCTAAATAGAACTAAATTTTTTTATTTTTTTTTAAACATTAAATTTGCAACTATAGAATGTTTTTGTGTATGTATATTTTGATGTCTTAAACTGATTTATTTGTTGTCTTCTAGGAAATATGTCAATATTTAGAACTGCTCAATTGGAAATGGAAGATCCTCCAAAGAAAAAAATGCACAGGGGGGAATCTTCGTTTAGTGGCCCCACAGGCACTGAAGTGATCGATGACTCCAAGGCCTTCGTCCAACGTTTCGCTGTTTTGTTCAACAGTTCCTGTTTCAGTGATGTGAGACTCCGGGTTGGGAATCAGACATTTTATGGTCATAAGTTTATACTGGCATCTGCTAGTAAAGTGTTTGAGTAAGTAATAGAGTGACAGTATTTGTTGTCAAGATAGTTTAGGCTCTTTTAGCACCAGTGGCACATTAGGCAAATGATGCTAGACTCAATGTTTGTATAAACAGTCAGCACTCAAGACGTGATGTGGTCAACATAATGCCAGTGACCTTTACTTCCTAGTGGTCACACACAAAGTCACTGACGCAGCGGCCAGACCTGTATTATTTTTTTAAGGTACTTCTGATGAGTGATTTTGTGAAATTGTTCATATTTGTGGTTTATTTATGTCATGTGCTGATGAAGAGGAGCAGCTATCCGTATGGTTAGAACGCTGGCTCTCAAGCGGGAGACCCGGGATCACATCCTCGGTAAGGCTGGGGATCTTTTATGTGGGGGGCAAAATAAAATCCTCACCTGCTTAGTCATGGCGACAGCACTAGCTATGTGGCTGTAAATCCTCAAAGACCTCCTTGCCTACACAGCTAAACTGTTATAATAAAGGCAGTCGGCCTCTGTGGCTTAGGTGTTGCAAACGAGCTTCATAATGCTGAGGTGCCGGTTCGATCCCAGCTGCAGGCAATATACATATATGTGCATAGTGCATAAAGACAGCGTCTTTTTTAGTAGGGAGGTTATTGTGCATTGTCATCGCTGATTACTGGTTTTGCTATAATTTCAGGGCTATGTTTGGAGAATCATCCACTTGGGAAGAGAGTCGTCAGCAAGAAATTCGTTTGGTGGAAGAGGAGGCCTGTCAGATGGTGTATTATGACTTTTTGAGGTGAGGCAGGAAAACGTGGAAAGAGAATTATGATAATGTTGTGTAGAGTTGGGCTTGATTGCTTTCAAAATAGATAGTTGCTGTTAAGTTTTTGTAACATAAGGTTGCTTTCTCTTCAACTGTTTATAGCATTACGCTGCTTTATTGTCTTTCTGAAGGAGTGTTGCTTTGAAGTATTTCTTATAGTCGGTTGATGTGAAATCTTTTTAACAGAAGTTCAAATTGAAGTATTTCTTATAGTGGGTTGATGTGAAATCTTTTTAACAGAAGTTCAAATTGAAGTATTTCTAACTGCAATTTGTCTAGAAGTATTTCTGTGAGGGTTTGCTTGAAGTCTTTGTAACAAATGTTCACCTTTGTAAACAAAATTTTACCTTGAAGTAATTATGACAATTTTTTTCAGTAGATAATGAGAACTGCTGTCAGCCTAAAGCTGAAACATAATGAACCTAAAATGTCAATATGCATCTTCATCTGTAGAAAGTTCACAGTGCCTAAGCCACAGACGCCAACAGTATGGATAGAATACACACTTACTTACTTACTTAGTCGCTCCTCTTCTACCTTGGGGTGTAGAGGTTTGCCAGAGAGATTGCCAGACGTCTCTATCAGCAGTTTTCTTTCTGGCTTTGTTCCATTCCAGTCCTCTGTCAGTTAGGGACTGTCGGATGTTGTCTTCCCAGCGCACCCTGGGTCGTCCCGGAGGTCTGGTTCCCTGGTTCTTAGCCTCCTATGCTTGCCATGGTGGCCGATTTTCTCCCATTCTGCATACATGTCCAAACCATCGTAACTGTGACTGATCTACTCGGGTTAGTATGGGCTGGGTATCAAGATCTTGACGTATTGTCTGATTGCGGACTTTGTCCCTTCTTGTCACTTGGACCACCTTTCTCAGGTATCTCATTTCCGAGGCCTGCAGCTGGCTTCTATGAGCTGTTGTCATTGCCCATGACTCACACCCATAGGTCAGACTGGTACATAGGTAGAGCGGTAAACAGCCATTTTCGTCCTCTTGCAAATTTCTCTTTTGCTAAGTAAGAAACCCTCGGTTTATGGCCTGGAAGAGTCTCACAGCAGCTGCTTTTCGTGTAGCCAGCTCAGTCTTAATGCCTCCGTTTTGGTCTAGTACAACTCCAAGGTATTTGAACTGGTTAACCTGCTCCAATGCATACTGTCCCATCATGATCTGGTGTTTCTTCTCCTCTCTTGAGATCACCATGGTTTTAGTTTTGGAGATACTGATGGTCATCCCTTTCTTTTCAAGCTCTTCCTTCCAGACAAGTAAGTTGGACTGAAGGTGTGCCTCTGATTTAGCTGTCAGGGCCACATCGTCTGCAAAAGCCAGCTCTGATATACAGATTGGTTTCATCTTCCAGTACCCTACAGAGTACTTCTTTGTCTTCTCCTTACAGGTCTTGATGACATCATCCATCATAAGAATGAAGAGGTAAGGTGAGAGAATATCACCTTGTCTAACACCGCTGGCGGTCTTGAATTCTTCTGACTTTTGGTCTGCTGTTCTTACATAATTTCTGCACCTTTTGTAGAAACTCTTTATTGCACTGATCAGGGGTGCTAGGATGTTTTTCCCTGCCAAGCAGTCCCAGAGCTTGTTCCAGGGTACCTTGTCAAATGCCTTTTCCAGATCCAAAAAACATAAGTGCATCTCACTATTATATTCCAGGGCTTTTTCACTCATCTGTCTCAGTGTGAAGATAAGGTCTTGAGTACTTCGGTTTGCTCTGAAGCCGCATTGGGCCTCGTCCAGCTGTGGCTCTACCAGACTTCTAAGTCTCTGCTCAAGAATTCTAGAGTAACTTTTACCGGGAACGCTGAGGAGGGATATGCCTCTGTGGTTTAGAATACACACACAGATAACATTTATATACTTCTAAATTAACACATACATATATTCAAACACACGTCCACATACACAGCCACAGTTACAATTACTGTTTTAAATACATAACACACAAAGCCACCCACATGTATGTATACACACACAGACATTTACACAAGCAGTCAAACACAAACAATTTATGATTTAATAACTATTCAGTAATTTTTCAGTTTTATATTTATATAAAGTTATTTCAGTTAATTCTTTCTTCTTTGTTTTCTTCTTCTTCTTCTCTTCCTCCAGTGACCTCATCGAAGTGTTGGGAGGAGATGTAAGGATCTTCTGTGCTCTTTCTAATTCATTGCCTCAAGTTGATCTTAATTTCTGTAAGGCTGTTTTTAGTGCTGTCATTTCATTGTGCTCTGTATTAATTATATTTATTCACTGTGGTTCTCCATGGCAATTGGTACCATGGCATTCTCCTCAAATGGCCAGACTGTCTCATTTGTTTCTCTTTATTGAACTGTATGATTGGTTTCGTTTTAGTCTTCTTTTGATTTCTTCATTATTACATTTGTTTCTCTTCTTGCTGCTCCTCCAGCTCTTCTAAAACATCACATCTCTGTTATAATGAGTTTATTTGTGCATATTAGATTTCCTGAGTTTGGTTATAACGAAGTAATGACTGTTGAAAAAACTTATGTCAGAAGTGACTCTTTTCTGCAGGTATTTTTACTCTGCCAGTATCGACATGAGTACAGACAAAGCCCTTCCTTTACTACTGCTAGCTGACAAGTACAATGTGCAGCCACTTCGCAACGTGTGTGTGGATTACATGATGAAGCACATTGAAGAATCACCAGACAAGAACAAGACTCTTACATGGCAAGTGTGAAGTTTGTTAAATTGAATTTGATGATATCTTTAAGTTAACTGGTTTTATAGCACGCAGCTCTGCAGCTGGCAAGCTGTGAGTTAGGAACTGACATCACAGCACTTGAGACATTCTCATAAGCATCCCTATGTGGGTTCCGGGCCCCATTATGGAGAAAGCAAGAATAGACCTACTGCCTACCCAAAAGCATGTCGTAAGAGTCAACTAATTCGGAGCTTCCTTTGAAGTCGAAGTGCATCTGCCTGAGTCTACATATGATGAGTCAGAACTGTAAAACGAATGTGCACGCAAAAATCAGGCTCTGTAACCGGACTCAAGTTCAGAAGTGGACCAACAACCAGAACTTTCCGCTGGAGTTTACAGCCGGTGAACAAGAAGAAGAAGAAGGAGATTCCTATAAGCTCTCAGTTCCCATCTTCAGCAGCAGGTGCAGAATTCCAGTTCTGGTGGTGCCAGTGACAGTCTGATTGTATGTCCATCTCGCTGCTCTATGAGTGTTGAGCATCGGCCAGATTCCCTGATCATTCCTCACTGCAGCATTCTCTTCGGACCAGGATGATCAGTTTGTGCCACCACACTGTTTATTTGCTTCCAAAGGACCTTAACAACATCTAGCTTGTCATGTATCATTTTACTACCAGGTGGTGCAGAACCAACCAGTCTTTCTGCTTGTTTATTTCCCAACACACCCACCAGCACTGGAGGAAATATCCAAAGGGCGCTAACTACCTGGGACCTCTGAAGCGATGCTTGGCACTGTACACAGAACACATACCTGGCTTGACCTTTCTCAATATGCTCTGCGAATACTGAGGAGTTAGTGAATCTGTTTAACAGTTTTAGCATCCTTGAGTATTAGAGTTCAATTTTCATGGTGGACTGTTTACCGCTCTTATGGCTTTCTGATAGTAGTACGAGAGTTGCACTGTGGAAGAGATTGGGAGACTCACAATGTTATATTCCTGTAGCCAGCAGTGTGGTGCACAATAGCCAGCCTTCATTGTGGAAACGGTATGATAAATGAAGCTTTGAAGAATGAGCTATGAACATTCCTATAAGCACTCTGTCCTTATCTTCAACAAGCTACAGAATGTTCCAGTTCTGATGGTGCCATGTGGCAGCTGATTATATATCCGTCTTGCCTTCCTCCTAGTGTAGAATGTTGACCAGATCTTCTAGTCACACCTAGCTGTACCATTAATTAATTTGTACATAATTCATTAATTAAGTCTCATCGTAGATACTACTTTTGGAGTGTGGAGTTTAATTCCTTTCTTATATTCTTAACTCTGTGCTAATTATTCCTTCATATATTCTAAACTCTATGCTGATTATGTCTTTATATATTCTAAACTCTAAGCTAATTATTCCTTCATATATTCTAAACTATGCTAATTATTCCTTCATATATTCTAAACTCTATGCTAATTATTCCTTCATGTATTCTAAACTCTATACTAATTATGTCTTTAAATATTCTAAACTCGAAGCTAATTATTCCTTCGTATATTCTAAACGCTATACTAATTATGCCTTTATATATTCTAAACTTTACACTAATTATGCCTTTATATATTCTAAACTCTAAGCAAATTATTTCTTCATATATTCTAAGCCTCTCACTAATTATTCCTTCATATATTAAAAGCCCTTTGCTGGTAAGACCAGTCCTTCCAAGTTAATTTAATGATATCTTGAGAATAAGGAAAATTGCCTGATACTCATTTTGTTTGGAGTCTGAGTTGAACCCAGCACTGAAAATTTCTCACTTTGTTTGGAGTCTGAGTTGAGCCCAGAACTGAAGATTTCTCACTTTGTTTGGAGTCTGAGTTGAGCCCAGAACTGAAGATTTCTCACTTTGTTTGGAGTCTGAGTTGAACCCAGAACTGAAGATTTCTCATTTTGTTTGGAGTCTGAGTTGAGCCCAGAACTGAAGATTTCTCACTTTGTTTGGAGTCTGAGTTGAACCCAAAACTAAAGATTTCTCACTTTGTTTGGAGTCTGAGTTGAACCCAGAACTAAAGATTTCTCACTTTGCTTGGAGTCTGAGTTGAGCCCAGAACTAAAGATTTCTCACTTTGTTTGGAGTCTGAGTTGAACCCAGAACTAAAGATTTCTTACTTTGTTTGGAGTCTGAGTTGAGCCCAGAACTTAAAATTTCTCACTTTGTTTGGAGTCTGAGTTGAACCCATAACTGAAGTTTCTCATTTTGTTTGGAGTCTGAGTTGAACCCAGAACTGAAAATTTCTCACTTTGTTTGGAGTCTGAGTTGAGCCCAGAACTGAAGATTTCTCACTTTGTTTGGAGTCTGAGTTGAACCCAGAACTGAAGATTTCTCATTTTGTTTGGAGTCTGAGTTGAGCCCAGAACTGAAGATTTCTCACTTTGTTTGGAGTCTGAGTTGAACCCAAAACTAAAGATTTCTCACTTTGTTTGGAGTCTGAGTTGAACCCAGAACTAAAGATTTCTCACTTTGCTTGGAGTCTGAGTTGAGCCCAGAACTAAAGATTTCTCACTTTGTTTGGAGTCTGAGTTGAACCCAGAACTAAAGATTTCTTACTTTGTTTGGAGTCTGAGTTGAGCCCAGAACTTAAAATTTCTCACTTTGTTTGGAGTCTGAGTTGAACCCATAACTGAAGTTTTCTCATTTTGTTTGGAGTCTGAGTTGAACCCAGAACTGAAAATTTCTCACTTTGATTTGAAATATGTCTTATTCTTCTATAAACTCTCTCTGTCTCTATCTGTCTCTCTCTTTTTCATGGATGCGTGCACATCCCCAAACATATATAAATGTGAGTTATCTCATTTATTCATCTATAAAATAATAATATTTCTGTGACTTCTGTGCATTGTCCAGGTTTCACAGGCAGTTTCCTGAAAGCATTTTTTAGATTGAAAATGCACTAAGTAACCTTTTTTTGCTACGAAGAACGAACTTTTTTGCATAGATAAGTTTTTTTTGTTAATCATTCTGCAAGATTAATAATTCATTGTTTATTCCAATGAATGTTTGTTCCCCACAGCTGCGTTGTTCTTCTTGTCCATGCCATATGGATGTAGAAAACATGGCTGCCCTTAACCCTCTGTCTCATGCGCTGTGTAGTATTTCTCATACAAATGTTCCTCCCATGCAATTTTGCCAACGTTTACTTAATTGGTATCTCTGTGTGTCTTTCTTCACATCCAACATTTTATTGTGTGGTCTTACTCATAGAGTTCCCCTTCTGAGAGCTGCATTAGCCACACCAGAATACGACCATCCCTTATCTGCTGAGGTGCCATGAGTGATTTCCCTTCCTACACTTTAAGACAGGAAGAAACGTTCAAGAGAGTGCTGGAGAGAACACTACTGGGGAAAAAAGGGGTAGACAGGTCACAGTATTTATTAAACAGGCATACACCGATCAAGAGCTATAGTAGTGTTGTGGCCAGATGCTCGTCTGTCGGCATGAAATTCTTGAGTTTGAATCCAGATTGAAGCACATTTTCTTTCAAAACTGACCTTGGCTTCCAGGTTAGGCCAGGCTAAAAGACCACCTAATGTCCTTGGAAGTAAAAGTAACTGTTGACCACATCACCCGCCTAATGCTAATTTATCTATAAAAAGTCTAGCATCGAATGCCATATGTGCCGCTGACACACAAGGGGTCCTTTACGTTAAAAAAAAACAAAAAAAAAAACAGATCTGTTAATGCAGACGTACATGGAATTAGAAAGATTAACACAAGGCAGACATTATGGATTGATAAAAAACAGCACATCCAACCAAAAGGCTGAAATACATAATGATAATATAATTAGTTTTTGTTTTACTGTGGTGTACACTTAAAGACTTTTGAATTATAAATCAGGTATCACTACTCCAAACTGACTGGGCCAGAACGACTAGGAGATGCTTGTAAAAACTTCATTGTGTCCAACTTTAATGTCATCCTGGATGCTCCGGATGGGTGGAAATGGAAAGAGAGGAACTTGCTGACTTCATGGCCATGTCTGAGCTGTGTGTTGAGTCAGAGAGAGTCCTGTGGGAAAAAGTAAGAAGATTTAGTACTTACATTGTCTTCTTCACATTGTAAAATATGTGGCTATTCATGCTCACGTGCATGCGTGCGTATGTGAGAGAGTGAGTGAGTGAGAGTGAGTGAGTGTGTGAGTGAGTGAGTGAGTGAGTGAGTGAGTGTGTAGGTGGGTGGGTAGGTAGGTGGGGGTGTGTGTGTGTTTGGGTGGGTGTTGTTGTTGTTGTTGTCGTTGTTGACTCATCCAGAGCTTTAGCTACATAGGGGCATAAGAATTGTTCTTTAATGAATTGTATGACTGGTTTCAGGCAGGAACTAAAAGAGTTAAAGTTCTGTGCCTACAGTCTAGATTGCTACAGCGTGTCTTCAGTTCATGTTTCTTGATCTGGTGGGTACACTCATCTCTTGGCAATGCCTGGCAACTGTATTATTTCCTTTCTCTTCCACTGCGATTCTAGCTGCTAAGTTTTGATTTATTTGTCTTCATTTTTACTTCTGTTAACAGCTCTTTTTTCATTCCCAGTATGTCTAAGAAATCTGAATTATGGTTGATTGAGTAGTTAGCTGTCATGCAGCAGACCCATCTTTGATCCCCGGTAAGGGATGAGATCATTTTTTTGGGTCGGCAACAAAAATTAAAAAACCTAACCTGTACAGTTTGTGACAGCTGTACTGGCCACACAGAGTTAACTCTTTTTTCTGACCGAGCAACACACCATGTTTGCGCAGTTTATGTGTATCAATGCAACACATGTCGTGTTATTATTTATTTCATGTTTGGTATGTGTGTGCAAAATAAATCTGGCCAAATATTTTAAATGAGGCACAGTATATGACTTATCTTTTAGAGACATTACACTGATACCTTTTTCACTGTGATTATTGTGCCAAATTTGGTTTCTACCTTAAAATCACCTGGGACTGAAAGAGTTAAATCAGGTTCACGACCTTCTGTTATTACATCGCCCTAAAAGTGGTAAATACAGACATTAAGGATCCTCCCCCCACACTCAGGCACATGCACACACACACACAGTACATTATAATGGCATGGCATAATATATAACATGGTCTTTGCAGGTAGAGCAATGGCTGTTGTCAGACAACAATTCAGAACTGAGGAGGGAGAATGTGGAGTTGATTGTTCCATTGCTGCGCTTCTGCAAGATGACACCAACAGAGCTTCTGGCCATAGAGTCATCTCCCTTAATGGAGGAGTTTTCAGAGATTTTGAAACCCAAGTTAGGAGCAGGTAGGAATGTCTTCATAGCCCTTCACTGCAGAAGATGCTTGACATTATGAATTAACCCTGTTAGTATAGAAGATGGTGAAAACAGGGATGGCTGCAATCAAGCTAATACCAAGATATTAATCCACTGAACTGTGACCCAAGAAGCCTAATGAGGCAGAGAAGGGGGCACCAGAAAACACAGACACACATACCCAGGCAAGCAGACATAGGCACACACATGAGCACCCACGCAGACACATGAACAACATACACAGACACACAAACATGCACACACACAAGACAAAATAGGATGTTCTGGCAGGAACTTTTATTGACAAAAGACTAGTTTTTATGGTTTTGTTCAGTGGATTCATTACTGTAGAATATGCTTGCTCTTTTGAACTAGGCAGGGCACTTACATTTGGTATGATATTGTCTAGTGAGTTTTCGTGTGGTCTGCTATGGTTTGGTTTGTTATTATCTGGTTTTGCTATTCTCTAGGTTTGCTGTTGTCTGGTATGCTATTTCTTGTTTCATTTTTGTCTGATATGCATTTAAAAGGGTCGTAAAAGGACCATTTTTTTCATGGCTTTGGGCATATAAGTCTAGATATTTTCTAAACCAGTCGGCAATCAGGGAATGTGGCCAACATCACATCAGCCTTCTTTACTTCCTAGGACTTATCCTGGTACGCATTTAAGGCTGGGTAAACCTGGGAGCCAAGGTAATTGGGAAAGAAAAATTTCCGGCTCCATCATGAACTCACGACTTTCGAGTAGCTGCCACACTCTGGTCATAGTAGTCCTTGAAAATGTTGAGTGGGGGGGGGGGGGGGGGGGGGGTTACAACAATGAGGAATGAGAACTTAGATCTTCAAGGTTGCAGAGAAATTTGTTTGCTGTGACTAGGAAATTCAACACTCACCATGTACACCTTTCAACATCTCCAGAGGAAAAAGGAGCCTCTCTAACAGGCAACTTATGATACATGTGCCAGACATTGCAGAGGACAGATTTTCAGTTTGTACATTGAGTGAGTCAGCATCTGTGGCTTGGGCGTTGAGAACACGCTTGGTAATGCCGAGGTGCTGGGTTCGAACCCAGCTGCAGACGGTTTGTCTTGCGTTGGTTTCGACCGTGGCACCGAGAGCTGACCGTTCAGCAAGCAGTGGCAAACTACTGAACATAAAAATGCTGAGATTGGTTCTGCAATGTCCTGTAAAGGATATGCAACCAACGTTTACATTGAGTGAATTAAATATATGTATCTAAATACACATGCATTATATGATCTTATGCTTCAGGCATTTAAAGTTAGACTCATAATTGTATAGACCTTTTGGGTCAGTGGATAATGGGGACACCTCAAGCTGGCCTCCTTTACTTCCAGTGATATTGTCATATACCCATTTTAGGCTGGTGTCGACTTTGGAACCAAAGTAATTTTGTCAAAATCGGTCCTTTATTAATATCCTAGATTTTAGAGGGTGGTAAGACTGGGTTTCCTGGCTTTCTGATGCTTTTAACGACCCCAAAACATCTAGAACTGGCCCTAATTCCAATCCCCTACCTTACACGAGAGAGTGCAGCCTAGGTCCCACGGCTGCATGCAGCCCAGGTCCCACGACTGCATGCAGCCTATCTACCACCCCCTGAAATATTAGACTGTCCCCTGACCTGTGGATTTCCCCTGTTTTGGGTAGGATATTAATAAAGCACTTCAAAATCCACTCTGTTGGGTATGGATCTGTGGCCTTCAGGCAAGCAGCTAGCCACTACACTAGCAGGGCTCCCAATAAGCTTGAATATTATAAGCATTACATCTAATGATTTGTTTCAGTAATTTTTGTATACACACATATTTTGATCATAGGTTGGCATGATGAATGACTTTACTCTACTGTCTAATAATCTACTAGCAAAAGGCTGCTGACTCTGGATGTAAAGGTTTACTGAGAATGCTGCAATATGGGTTCCAGGGCTCTATTTGGTGGGGGGTGGTGGAGAGAACAGTCCCGCTGCCTCTACTTACAAGCATGTTGTAAAAGGCTACTTATTAGGGGTTTGCCAAAATCTGACATGTTGGGTCAAAAGCTGCAGATATCACAGCCTTGCTGTAAACCACAACACAGCATTTACCAACCGCCCTTTGAAGGGTGAACATGGAAAAAGAAGCAGAAGAAAAAAAACTAAGGCTTACAACTTTTCAAGCAAAATAACGGCAGTTTTAACCCGTGGTTAGTTATGACTATCATCAAAGCACTCTGCATAAATCCATAAATGCTCAATCTTCCCCTTGTCAGCTCCATAAGCTTAAAGAGACGATCATGCCTTTTATCTGTTGATTAACTAAACGTTGTATGCCCTTAGTTATATGTTTATGTCTGGTGGCTCCATATCGCATCCCTGTATCCACCCAAATAAACATGAATACACTGTCATGCTTGTCACTCTACATTTTCTTTGCCATATGAACCGTGGGAGCCGCCATGGTGAGGCAACTAGATGTTCGCCTGCTGATATGTATGTCGTAGGTTTTAAAAAAAAAAATGACCTTGGCTTCCACGTCAACCCAGCCTTGAGTAGGTGCCAGGTGAAGTACTGGGAAGTAAAGGTGGCCAGTGTGATGATGACCACATCACCCACTCAGTGCTGATTGGTCTGTAAAATATAGGTCTAGCCCTATGTGTCCAATATACCTGAAGGCGTGGAAAAGGGTCCTTTATTTTCAATGTTACGTATGAATGGTGTATGGTATTGATGACATTGCTTCTCTTCAGTGCCGGACCAGTCATAGTAACGGCAATGTCCACGATGGACGAAGCTAGCAGATAATGATGAATCTCTGACACTAACACAGTTGGTTGGCATGGGAATAAAGCACAGTGAAGTACAGATATGCCACCTTCATGGCCAAGCTAGGAGGCATTATAACCACTTCCTCGTGGAAACTATCAGAAGAAGTACCTTGGAATGGCTGCTGCATCAGAGGACTGAGCATACATGGGAATGTCCAGCGTGCAGTGACGTCCACTCTCTGTGACAGTGGTTATGACATGAAATAAGTAACAAATTAACAAGAGGACTGAGCATACATGGGAATGTCTAGCATACAGTGACGTCCATTGTCTGTGACAGTGTTTGTGACATAAAAGAAGTAACAAATTAACAACTTTTCGTTCTGTTTTCCACCAGCCTATAGATTCCACTCACTGGCAAGCAATGGCGTGTTCCTGCCCAGTGAACAAGTCCCCTACAGGAACTTCACCTCTGAGATGTACGGCATGCGATTTCAGTTTGAGCTGAAGTCCTATGCAAACATTCCGAAGATTGAGAGCCGGATCTGCCTGTCTTGTTTGGTGCCATACTTGCCCTGCTTGGAGATTGAGACAGGGCACCAGAAATGTAAGAGTTGTCATTACTTCCTGTCATGTAAGACCACAAATGTAAGAGTTGTCATTACTTCCTGTCTTGTAAGACCAGAAATGTAAGAGTTGTCATTACAAATGTAAGAGTTGTCATTACTTCCTGTCTTGTAAGACCAGAAATGTAAGAGTTGTCATTACTTACTGTCATGTAAGACCAGAAATGTAAGAGTTGTCATTACTTCCTGTGAAGTTAGCCACTACAAAAGGTTTAAAAAAAACACACATTTAAGGACCCTCTCAGTTTATTGGTACATTTGGCAAATAAAAGTTGAAAAAAAAAAAACAACTTAAGGTCCATTTTTCACGCCTTTAGGCATATAGTACTAGACCTATATTTTTATAGACCAATTGGCACAAGATGGGTAAAGTGGTCAGCATCACGCCGGCCGCCTTTATTTCCTGGGACTGCACCTGGTACCCACTCAAGGTCAGGTGGACCTGGGAGTCAAGGTCATTTTTGAAAATAGTCGGGCTCCGCTAGGGAGCGAACCCCTTACCCTTCCAATCCACACACGCGCATCTAGCTGCTACGCCAAGGCGACTCCCCATCTGGCAAATGGTAACTAAAAAAATGTAAAGCTAAAAACAAAGAAAGTAAAGAACCCTTTTGATGTCATTTTAATTAGGCGTATGGTAAGACCCTCTTCCACACCTTCACGCATATTGGGCATATAGGGGCTAGACCTATGTAATGTATGATTCCTATGCCTTCATACAGTATAGAGTGCTAGAAAGGTCGAAAAGGTTTCAGCATCAAATGCTGAAGAGACAACTTCAGTTCCTTACCACATGCAAAGATACAATTTCAATATTTCCTACCACTGCTAATGATGTGATTTTTGATTTCAGTGTTTCCTACCACTGCTAGTGATGTGATTTCTGATTTCAGTATTTCCTACCACTGCTAATGATGTGATTTCTGATTTCAGTGTTTCCTACCACTGCTAGTGATATGATTTCAGTATTTCCTACCACTGCTAGAGATGTGATTTTAGTGTTCCTACCATTGCTAGAGATGTGATTTCTGATTTCAGTGTTTCCTACCCCTGCTAGTGATGTGATTTCAATGTTTCCTACCCCTGCTAGAGATGTGATTTCAGTGTTTCTGCCAACAGCTAGCAGTGTAATTAATTTCACAGATATAATTTCAAGGTTTCCTGCTGCTCCAGATCTGTTCATTAACACCAGAATATTTTCATTCGCCATCAGAAGTAGTGACTCTATTTGTATTGTTTTATGACTGATACATAGTTCTCCATTTTAGCATGTATTAATTATGGTAGTTGAAGGTGCTTAGGTTAGTTTAGGAAAGTTCCAGGAGGGAGACAGACACGGCACTGCTCTTCTGATCCAGCAGCTTCTGTAGAATGCTTTGTTCCAAGTGTATTTGTGTTATTTGTGTTTGGAGTTAACAAAGCAAGCAATACTGCCTTGGCTTTTTGCTGTGGGAAGGAGGAATTTCACCCTTGGTCTTAATTGCAATCTCCATAAGCTGTGGTTTTCATGCCTTCATGTGGCAAAGTGGAACACTCATCTAGAAAACAAAGGTGCTAACAAAATTATTATTTGTTTTTTACATGAAGACCTAATATTTCAGTATCTGTCATAGAACCTTCTTGATCTTTATTTTAATTAAGTTTTTTTTTTCATTTTCGTGTTTAGAAAGCACACTACGCCCAGTTCCAGGTGAACTTTTACCCCAAAGGTCCACTTCTCTACAATTTCCTTATACGGTAACTTCATGGGACGGCAGAATGATAACGTGACCTTGAAGATCATTCGGCAGAAACATATCACACTCATGCAGCAGCACCACTGAGGCCAACAAGCAGTACCCTCCGATGCTCGTTGAAGCCACTCTCCAGCTCTACAGCAAGAAGAAAGATCTCAGGTATGTTGGACTGACTGTGTCTAAAACTCAGATCTTCACCCAGAAAAGTCCAGATTTGGTTGTGGAAAATGTTTTGGACCTGGACAGACTGAAAAGTGAAGACTCGCCTTTTATCGTTGAGGGCTGTTTGTCTGGGGCTGTGTTTATTAAAGTGCAACAAGTTGGTGACCATCTTCTGGAAGGTGAATGTAGTAAAGATGTTGCTTTTGGAAATACCGTGCAGTAGGTCAGAGGTCACAGACAGTGTTCCGTCACCAAAATATCTAAAGATTGTTGGTCCACTTGAAGTTTGAAACTGTACAAAAATGAGACATTTTTAAAGGAACAATATTTAAGCTTACCATGTTTGTGCATTCAGCTTAGTTTTTATTGTTATTTTTTCCTCTTTCTCAACAGTAGTTTAGAATAACTGTGAAAAACAATTATATCTAAAAAAAATAATGCTTAAAAAAGTGTAGTACAATGATATCACAATAGGCATTGAAATATGAAAACTTTATATGAGTCATTTAAAATCTGGTATCCAAATGAGCATAGAAATGTGAAAAACGGTGGTACGTAAATTAGCCTTGACATTGGAAAAGCAGTGATATCTAAATGGTCATTGATGTAAAAATTCGACATGTAAAAAGCTGGGTTTTTTATGGGTATTGAAATAAGGAAATAAGTGATTTCCACATAGGCATTGGAATGTGAAAAAGGGTGATATCTGAGTGGACCTATGAAAAGCAGTGATTTTTAAATGAGCATTAGAATGTGGAAAACAATGTTATCTAAATGAGCATCAGCATGTGAAAATATGGGGGGGGGGGGGGGGTGGTAGGGGGGACTGGTATCTCAACCCTTTTATAATAGGAATTGAAATGTGAAAACCAGTGATTTCTGAACATATTTTTGGAGATTGAAATATAAAAAAAAAATTGATATCTGAACCTCTTTATGGGAATTGAGATGTGAACAACAGTGATACCTAAATTATTAATGAAATATCTCCAGGTAGCAACACTGTACAGGACTAGACGTTTGAGGTGCTAATGCTTATGACCAAACTGACCCAGTTATTGACCTGATATGTTTGATATGACATCGCTACTCATGGCATCTCAGAAACTCACTATTCTGATCTGGGTAACTTTCAGAAGAAAGTAGCACATATATCTGTCTGTGCAGTCTGCTCTACTGCAGGACTATTCAGCTAAATTTACTCAAGAAGCCAAAATGTTGACCATAGTGGTTGTCATTGGCGAGGGACCCATGCCCAAGCGTAGAAAGATCATTAACTGTTTCATCCCCAAACAAGGCTCCAGGTGTCCTGGATATAACTTATGTGCACCAGTCAGCCTGTTTTGTATGTTTCTACATCTTGAGTTTAGTCAGGCTACCTAGATCAAGCCCAGCACCACAGGTCACCCAGAATGTACTGTGTGTCTGGACCCCTGTTGATACAGTATATCAACGCTTTTGTTGTCATCGTTTTTGTTTCAATCAGGTATCAGCTATAATCTTCTGGGACTGAAAGAGTTAATACAGTACAACTGGCAATGATCCGTGGACAATTGCAATGCCTCTGCAGGCCAAATTTAGCCCACGGGCGGTCGGTTGAATAGTCCTGCTAGTGAAAGATAATAAGGGATACACAGTAGCGCAGTACCCAGATGCTCACCTCGCAGCCCAGTGGGGTTTAAATCTGCAGCAGGTTGGATATAAAAAAAATGTACCTTAGCTCCTAGACTGACCCAGCCAGGCTACCAGGTCAAGTCCTGGGAAGTGAATGTGGCTGTGCGACGTTGACCACATCAGCCGTCAAGCGAGGTTTGGTCTTTGAAACTATGAGTCTGGCATCATGTGCTGGTGTGAAAAGGGACCTGTGTTTTTTTTTTATTAACAAAGAGAAAAGGCTGATATTCACAGCAGGCTTAAAATATACTATAGAATTAAAGATTAATTCTGTTCTATAACTATATAAGCATTATAGATTTTGCTGTTTTTCCTTTATCATTTTATGTTTGATGATTTGTAAAGAGCAACCTGATCTGATGCTGTTTAGCTTTTTGACTTCTGTAGTGCAGTTTTTATTGTACTGCCTTACCAACACAGTAGTCTGTGTTCATCATCTTTCAGTTGAATCATTTGTTTTCTAACTAGTATTATGGCTCTTAAAATGGACCCAGATATGTATGTAGAGAAGTAAAAACGAGCCATGTGTTACAATGAGCCATGATATGCTAGTGGCTAGACGTTCACCTACCAGCACAAAGGTTTTGAGTTTGAATCTGCAGAGAGTCAAACGTCCCCCCCCACCCCCCCCCCCCCCCCCCCCCCCAAAGAAAAAAATGTGATTACAGCTGCCAGATTGGACCAGCATCCACAGATTATTAACATTTGCCTGTTTTGTTGGACCAACATCCTCAGATTGTTAACATTTGCCTGTTTTGTTGGACCAGCATCCACAGATTGTTAACATTTGCCTGTTTTGTTGGACCAACATCCTCAGATTGTTAACATTTGCCTGTTTTGTTGGACCAACATCCACAGATTGTTAACATTTGTCTGTTTTGTTGGACCAACGTGCCAAGCAAAACATTTCACAGTCTGTTGCTTCTGTCTTATTTGTTGAAATAGGCTTCAAAATCAGATCCTTGATATGCTTCCTAATTGACCTGCTGTTCCTGACTGTGGTACTATATTTATTTGTCTCTTTATAAAACTTCATTTTTTCAGATTTTTGTGCCGATACAGATTTGATACATATCACTAGCTCTGTTTTATGAGATGCAGTTTTTGTGCAGCCTTTGCTTTGAACTGCTGCACTGAGGCATAAAGGACTTGTATATTTCACTGATTTATCATCATCATCTTCATCATAGTGTGACACCGTGTTACGTCACATAGTGCTTGCAGTCTAGTCCTCTGATCACTTTTGTCCTGATTACTCAGTCACTAGTGTCAATATTTTTCTTCTTTTTTCTACAGCTTAATTTACTTTGGATATCATTTTGAATATCTAATTGCTGAGGTTTGAACTGTCATTAGTGTATCTGTATTATGAGATGATGAATGTCTTTGCTTGTTGGCAAGGAATTGGGGTCAGATCTGCATCTTGTGGATGAGAAAAAATATTTATGTGCGTTAAATTTTTTGTACCCTATTCTCGCGCGCAGAGTAAGATTAATAACTATTTTGCCAGCTTTTTGCATATTAGATATTCTGTTGGCTGATGCCACTCCTCTGTGTGTCGAGCTACGTTATGATAAAGCGGAAGTGGTGAAGGCTGTCTGTGATCAAGTGGACAGTGGGATCATCAGAACAGACTAGGTACCCATACATTGCTAGGCATCCATACATTGCTAGGTATCCATACATTGCTAGGTATCCATACATTGCTAGGTATTCATACATTGCTAGGTATTCATACATTGCTAGGTATCCATACATTGCTAGGTATTCATACATTGCTAGTTATCCATACATTGCTAGGTATTCATACATTGCTAGGTATCCATACATTGCTAGGTATCCATACAAAGACAGACTAATTCAGCAATTGGGAAGCAGGGGGTCTGGAAGACTTTCAACACTGCAGGGGAAAACAATAAAGATACCTCTTCACGCCTTTTAGGCGCATCAGGCATATGGAAAGAGCACCCATATTTTTACAGACAAATCAGCGCTAGGTGGGTAATGTGATCAGCATTACGCCGACCATCTTTACCTCCCCATTACATCCATCCTGGTACCCATTTAAGGCTGGGTCGACCTGCGACGTCCCATACCATGATGAAAAAATCCACGCAGCCAGCAGTGGGTTTCGATCTTGGTACGTTGGAAGTGTTCATACATAGATAGACTAATTCAGCAAGGAGTGAGCAGGGAGGGGGTCTGGAAGACTTTCAACACTGTGGGGAAAACAGGCAGACTTTTAATCTCGTTGCAGCAGGTACTGTTAGCATATCAACTCTTCGTTGGCTGTTAAAGAAGGAGACAGAGCATGTGTGGGAATGTCGTGAGTACAAGAGATGTCAGTTCTTGTTTGATTCATTTATTTTATTGGATATGTGGTGCCAGCTCAATATTTTTAATAGCCAGTTGGCATCTGATGGCTTGATGTGTTTTGTTGTCAGTAACACCCACCTTCCTGTACTTCCCAGAGCATTTCCTGATGCACATTTTAGGCTTGTGCGGCCTGGGAGACCTGGCCATTTAAAACAAAATCTCTGCCCTGATTTAAAAATCTGACCACCAGGGCTGGCAGACATATATGGTAGCCACTGTGGGTTATTTTTGCAAATAGAGGTTAAACCATAGAGGGGATGGTAACTGAGGGAAACAGTCTGTGGTAGTGACTCTCTTACCTCGTGTGGGGATACCACTTCTTAGGGCAGAGTAGGATGGGGGTAATAGCATCACAGAGCAGGGTACTCACTTACTCTGGCAATCTGAACGATTGCCCAAGGTTGAGAGGCTCAGCCATGGGGGGTTGTGGAAAGCAAGGGTGAGACTACCACATTATATATTCCTAGAAACTGATTGAAAGCTGAGGAAAAAAAAGCATCTCAAAGAAAGCTGAGGTATTTTGGCCATGTTGAAAGTCACGGTGGCCTGGAGAGAGCGACGAAGGTGGGTGCATTTCCCAGAAAATGAGGCAGGTGGATAATGTGAAGGTGGATAAAAGACATTAAAGATGCATTGGCTATGACAGCATATAGGGCTGGAGATTTGGTTAGTGAAAGAGAGACTTTTAGGCGTGCTGTGGTGAGAGGACATTCTGTAAAGGATGTGCTTATTGTTGGAGATAGGACAGGCCAGTCTTAAGTCAGAGGATTTAGGGCCGCATGGCTGGTGCTGTCACCATTAACTACATGGGGTAGAATTTTATGTTTGTCCCTAATGTAAATAACGGAGCTGCCACCGTGAAGCAGCTAGATGCTTGCATGTGGATCCAAAGATCGGGGGTTCAAATCCAAATGGAGCTGGACTTTTTTCAAATTTGACCCCGGCTCTCAGGTTGACCCAGGCCTTAAATGGGCACCAGATAAAGTCCTGGGAAGTAAAAGACAGCCGGCGTGATGTTGACCACATCCCCCACAGAGTGCTGACTGGTCTAGAAAATATAGGTCTAGCCCTATATGCCCAGCCTGAAGGCATGGAAGAGGGTCCTTTACTTTTAGTAACAGAAATAATCTATACTTTTACAGAGGATTTGAAGAGGATTTGAAAAGGATTTTC